CCCTATCCCTATCAGGAAAGGAGCTGAATGAACCTCTCTGGGGAAGTAGTTTCACAGCTTGGGTGCTGCAACTGAAAAGGCCCTGTGCCACATCCCAGCCAGCCACACCTCTGATGGGAGTGAGATCGAAAGCAAGGGCTCTTTACAGTGAAGATGGTGGCTGGGCTGGTTGATGAAGGCGAAGACAGCTCTTCCAATATCATGATCCCAAGCCGGTAGACAAATAGGGTTGCCATCATTTACCAGCTTGTCTCCTGTGTAACCCAAGACATAGTAACCCAAGACATAGAAATTCAGCAGGTGGAACTTTCTCCATCAGTTTATTTCCATGCCAGAAAATGCTTTGCTTTCTGAATGTTTTCTTGTTAAAGGCAGGTCTTTTTATTATCTTTTGTAGGGTTGCCAATCAACAAAATCCACCCTCCTAGCATGTTCTCAAGTTTTTAAAAAAAAAAATAACAGCATGATCTGCAGAAACCATAAGATGAAATGATGCATGGGCATGAAAACCTTTCCACCTTTGCTGCAAGTTTAACTACTGTCTGAAGGCTGTTGAACATTTGGCAACCCCGCTGGGTAGCTGTGACATTTGGTTTCTGCTCCCCCCACGCCCCTTGCCTGCTAATATCAAATTTTCTGAAGTGTTGGTGCTAACACCTCATTCAGGCTGAAACCTCATTCAGAGGAGCATTGACTCATATTGAGTTTAACGTGTGACTTAAGGTGGGGATAGATATGGTGTGGTTTCTGTGGTTCTTTCAGTGATCATGGAAGATGACTTGTGCTGAAGGACAAAAGTAGTGTTTTCAATCACTCTGTTTCAGTTGTTTAATGCTCCAAGTAACTTGCAGTGCAGTGGCCAGAGGTGTGTCACTGGAGCCAGAGGTTTTTGTGAGCAATTTATTCTTCTGGATAAATTAAGCCTCCTCCCCCACATACACAGAATTTAAATGGCATATTAATTATGTGATTTCAGTTATGTGGTCAGGCTGTGCCTCTAGTCTGACTATGGAATTGTTTGAGAATCTGTATGAATGTGTGTGTTGGGGGCGTTGCTTCCTGAGTTTTTCCTCCCAAGCCTACCTGTACCCAGAAAGCTTTTTGTGGAAGGGTCAGGGGGCTGAGGCAGGAATGGGGAACCTCTGGTCCTCCAGCTGTTGCTGCACTCCAGCTCCCATCAGCCCCAGCCAGCATGGTCAATGGTCAAGGATGATGGGATTTGAAGTCCAACAGCATATGGAAGGCTACAGAGCCCCACTGCTGGGTACAGCCATTGCAAGGTGATGCAGAACTTTGGAAGAAAAGTGAACTACTGTAGTACATTCAGGAAATGAAAGTTTTAAGGATGGTCCAAATGCTTCCTTCAGTCACCCAGTGTCTTTGCCCTCATTGGGTACAAAACAGTGAAAGTTAATCTACTTGCTGGAAAATAAGGCAGAAAAAGTTGGATGCGGGATGGAAAATTCCTGTGCATCTTTGACTTCCACCAACAGCACTCCTGTTCAGGGCTTCAGCCAGCCAGTGAACCACTGAGCCCTTTCCTCCAACATTTCATTCCACCATCACCTCGCCGTACAATTTTGTGCTTTTCTTATTCAACTGACACTCAGTACCTCATAAAGGTAAAGGTAAAGGGACCCCTGGCCGTTAAGTCCAGTCGTGGATGACTCTGGGGTTGCAGCACTCATCTCGCTTTACTGGTTGAGGGAGCTGGCATTTGTCCGCAGACAGCTTCCGGGTCATGTGGCCAGCATGACTAAGCTGCTTCTGGCGAACCAGAGCAGCGCACGGAAATGCCGTTTACCTTCCCATTAGAGCGGTACCTATTTATTTACTTGCACTTTGTCGTGCTTTCGAACTGCTAGGTTGGCAGGAGCAGGGACCGAGCAACGGGAGCTCACCCCGTCGCAGGGTTTCGAACTGCCGACCTTCTTATCGGCAAGCCCTAGGCTCTGTGGTTTAGACCACCACACCACCTGCATCCTGGCAGCACCTCATAGATACTCAGTATTGGCCTGTTTGTTTGAGTATTGAGTATAAGATGGCTATCATCTTCTGGGAGTCTCCTTTTATCTAGACTCCTCTCAGTCTCCTCTTATCTAGGCTAAACATATCCACTCCCTCAACTGTTCCTCATAAGGCTTGGTTTTCAAATCCTTGAACATCTTGGTCGCCTTCCTCTGGACACATTCCAGCTTGTCAACATCCTTCTTAGATTGTGGTGCCCAGAACTGGACACAGCCTTCAAGAATAGAGTGGTACTATTACTTCCCTTGAACTGGACACTATATTTCTGTTGATGAAACCTAGAAGAACATTAGCTTTTTTTTTTTTTTTTTTTGCTGCTGCATCACACTGTTGACTCATGTTAAGCTTGCGGTCTACTAAGATCCCAAATCCTTTTCACATGTACTACTGGCAAACCAGGTGTCCCCCATCTTATATTTGTATAGCGGGTTATTCCTGCCTAAGTGCAGAACCTTACATTTGTTCCTATTGAAATTCATGTTGTTAGTTTAGTTTTGACTCAGTTCTCCAAACTGTTAAGGTCATTTTGAATCCTGATTCTGTCTTCTGTGGCACTAGCTAACCTTCCCATCTTGGTGTCATCTGCAAATTAGATGAGCATCTCCTTAATTTCTTCATCTAAGTCATTCATAAAGATGGTTAACAATGGGACCAGGAGAGGACCTTGTGGCATGCCACTTTTCACTTTTCTGCAGGGTGGTAAGGAACTATTGATGAGCACTCTTTGGGTTTTGTCCGTCAACTAGCTACAATTTCATTTAACAGTTACGTTGTCCAGCCCACATTTTACCAGCTTCTGCACAAGAATTTCCTGGGGGACTTTGTCAAATGCCTTACTGAAATCAAGATAAACTATGTCCACAGCATTCCCCTGATTCATCAAGCTTGTAGCTTTATCAAAAAAAGAAAAAAGAAAGAATAAGTAAAGAAAAAAGAAATGAGAGTCATCTGGCATGACTGGTTTTTGAGAAATTTGTGCTGGGTCTTAGTAATCATAGCATTCTTTTCTAAGTGCTTACAGACCAACTTTTAAATTATCTGTTATAGGACCTTTCCTGGTATTTCCTGGTCTCATTGGTCAGTACTTTCCTGGGTCTTCCTTCCCCCCCTTTTGAAGATGGGGACAACATTTGCCATCTCCAGCCTGCAGGAACCTTACCTGATCTCAAAGAGGCTCTGAGATTACATCTGCAAGTTACTTTAGTACCTTTGGGTACAGCTTTCAGGCCCTGGAGATTTGAATTCATTTAAAGTAGCTAGGTGTTTCCTTACTGCCCTTTTACCCATCTTGAGCTACAGCTCCCTCCTTGCATCATTTATTCTGTTATCACCAGGTTGGGCACTGCTTTCCTTTGGGGTGAAGACAGAGGCAAAATAGGTGTTGAGCAGTTCTGCCTTCTCTCTGTCACCCGATAGCATTTCTCTGTCTTATCCATGCAGAACTTGCTTGTTCTTTCTCTTGCTTCAAACATAGCTGAATAAATCTTTTTATTGTTTTTAACCTCTCTTGCAATCCTGAACTCCTGACCGTCTCCTTGCAAGTATTGGCTATTCATTTATACTCTTCCTTTGTGATTTCCCCTTTCTTCTGTTTCTTATACATGCCCTTCTTAAATGGCAGCTCATCTGTAAGTTCCTTATGCAGCCACATTCATTTCTTTAGATGCCTCCTACTTTTCTTTCCTGTTGGAATTGTCTGCATTTGTGCCTTTGATATTTCACCTTTACAAAACTCCCATCCATCTTGGACTCCCTTCTCTTTGAGTATTTCTGACCCAGTAATTCCTTAAGCTTTTTGAAATTGGCCATAAAGTCCTGATTGCATGTCTGACTACATTCAGCTTTCCCTTGCCTTTGTGTAATGAATCTGATGAGGATATGATCACTTCCTCCCAAGGTTTTCAGTACTTTCACTTCATTGGTCAGTCCCTCCTTGATGGTGAGGACCAGGTCCAAGATAGATGATCCTCTTGTTGCTTCTTCCACCTTCTGGGAAATGAAATTGTCAATGAGGCAATTGAGGAATTTGTTGGAGCTTAACATGGTTAGCAGAGTTTGAGTTCCAGCAGATATCTGGGTAGATGCAGTTTCACATGACTACAACATCTCTCCTTTTTGGTAATCTGCTCTAGGATGGCATCATTCAAGTCTTCAGTTTGGAACTTGGGGGTCTACAGTATATAACTTCAGTGTTTTTTATAGAATCTACGGGATTTTTCTGTTTGAGGAGCAGGGCTGTATGGAGAGAAAATCTGCTTAGCATGTTTGACATACTAAATGTCATAGATGTGGTGGTGAGGGAGCTTAGTCAAACCATTCAAAATCGTAGCAGGCTGGTGTGGAATTGTGCAGTGTTAGAACTGAGGGTTCTCCTGTTTTTCTAAACTAGCTCAGTCTATTTTCACATTACCCTTAACTCTGACTCTAGTGCTCTCCCATTGCTGGTGTTCAAAGATGTGTACACATGACTCACACCACAATCCAGAACTATCCTGTAGTTTCTTGAGAAAATCATGCTGTTTGATACCTCAAACCAGCTGCGATCCACATAGAAAACTTCAGCCACATTGACTTTGCAGTTCAGTTGAAATGCGCACATTTCAGACAGCTGCTGCCCATGCTCAAATGGTAGCACATGCTTAGAATACAGCTTCTATGATTCTATGATTCATAAACAGGAATTTGGGGCATGTGTGTACAGTGGTAGGGTAACCAAGTAGGCAATGTACATCAAGTGAAATCCCTACTGTGCCTCGATATGTACAGCAAATGCAACTTGAAACGACCTCTCTGTGTTTTAAACCATCATTGTATACACCATTTGTGCAGCTTATCGTACAAGTGTATTATCAGGAGCATATGAAGTTGCCTTCTACTGAATCAGACCTTTGGTCCATCTAGCAGAGTATTGTCTAATCTTGACTGGCAGTAGCTCTCCATGGTTTCTGGTAAAGTTCTCTCACAGCCCTACCTGGAGATGCCAGGGATTGAACCTGGGACTTTCTGCCTGTAAGCCATGTGCTCTGCCACTGAGCTATCTCTCTTCCCTTTCAACTGCTGGCAGCTCATAATTTGCTTGAAGTCAGCCTGCTTGAGCAAGGTTATGCCATTATGGTGCAATCATCTTCTTCCGAGGAAATTCTCCTTAACAAGTATAGAGCGGCACCACTTCTGTCCTCAGGGCACAGTAGGCGGTTGTTTGTCGGTGAGGAAATTTGTGTTGCTTCAGAAAACTAATTTGGGAGATCAGGTTTCACTGTGCAGTAGCCTGTTATGCAAACCCACTCTGATAGATCTGATGCCTTCCTACCCTGTAAGTTGAGTACTTTTCTGAGAAGCATGGACTTTTTAAAAAAAGTAAGAGAAAAACATTAACATGGTGACTAGTACGTTTAGGAAAAACACACATAGGTGATCCACCTGTGATCTATCTTTGGCATACAGGAATTTGAAATGTTTAGTCCCAAGTGTGGGATTGAGTGATTGAGAGAAAGGGAATGTCACATGGACAACACAAAACTTTGCAATAAATAAGTTCCCAGTGTTAAACCTGTTCTCATCCACAGGTTGATGATTGCACTTAGATGATATACTTAGAAGTGAGACCAACTGAATTTAGTGGGGCTTACTCCTAGTAAGTGCGGTTAGGATTGCAGCCCTTGTTATAGCTCCAAGCTACTGTACTTTTCCTTCTATAAGACTCCCCCATGTATAAGACACCCCCTATTTTGGGGACTCAAATTTAAGAAAATAGGGGGGAAATGGCTCAAGAGTTGTTGAGCTTCTTTTGCAGAGGATTGCCCAGAGTTTTACAGCTTTTTTTTTGGGGGGGGGGAATTGCCAAAAATCGCTCACCTGCAGCACCGACGATGAATGCCCACTTGACACAGTGACAGAAAATTGCCAACAGACCCTTTCCCAGCAGAAAATCTCTAACCCACCTGAAAAAAGCTGTCCGCTGACAATCACAATTGCATGCGTCCCAAAACAGCAGCCAGCAATCACGGCAGTGGCAGCCAATCAACAGCAGTGTTTGCTGCATAAACCAATCACCAACCCAAATAGAGCAGCAGCAGCCAATCCAAAGCAGCCCTTCTGGCAGCCAACAACTGTCGCTGACAAGCTCCTGCTCATGGCTGCAGACAATCACCTGTCCACCCCATTCACTATCCATGTATAAGACGAGGCATGTTTTTAAACACTATACCTCGTCTTATACACGAAAAAATACGGTATTTGGACTAATTCATTGTCCTGTATAGCAGAAACTGGATCTCTGTTCACATGTATATATCAGTGTTCTTCTGCCATGGGTTCCCAGATATTTTGGGGCTACAACTCCTGTAATCCCTTATCATTGACTAAACCAGCAGGGAACTGATGGAAGTTGCAGTCCGACAACATTTGGGGGTCCAAAGTTGAAGATCATGATTGCATGACTGTTTGCTTGGACATCTGGCTCTTTAAATCAATGCATAGTCTTCTTGTCCAAGTATCAGTGGTGGTGTCTGTTTGGAAGTCCATCGTCAGCAAACATGGTTTCTTGTTGATGATTTTGGTTTTCTTCTCTTACAAAGAGCACTGCCTCCAGATAGACCCATTTTTTTTAAAAAAATTGTGCATTGTTTGACTGCAAATCCTACAATTTATTCAAGGGTACGTGTGTGCAGCAGCAGGGTAACCTAGTAGGCAATGTACATCGAGCGAAATCCCTGCCCCATCCCAATATAGCTCAAAAATGCTATAAAGTTTTCTCAATGATTTTTTTTTTAAAAAATCACAAGTTGCTGCAGATATGTGAAGAACTGACTTTAAGATTGGAAAAATGAGAGAGAACAGAAATGGACAAATTTATCCTTCCAGACCCACCTCCCAGACCCAACCTGTAACCCCCCCAAAAAAACCCCTCTATCTTTTTATTTCTCTTTTCAGGATGACCAGTAGCAAAGAATGTCTGGCCTCCTGTATCTTCAGTGCAGATGTGAGAGAATGTTGGAAGGTTCAGCTTACTCCAAAGAGGAGAGAAGCTGCACCCTCTGATATTCCCCATACGGAATAGAATCGTAGATCATGTAGTCCAACCCTCTGCAATGCAGGAATATTTCACCCCACGTGGGGCTCGAACTCACAACCCTGAGATTCAAAGTCTCATGCTCTACTGACTGAGCTATGCTCAAGATAAAGGAGCTCTGAGTTTGTGATCTGTTTCTTTCACCATCTTTGAAAATACAAACCTTAAACAAAACTCCGATAGAAACGGGTGGGTGGTGGTGGCCGCAGGAGGAACACTTTAGCTTGGAAGTGACTCGCCCACTGAAGATCTGCGCTCCGAATGCTGCCAAATAGTTAAAGCAACTCAATATTGACATCTCTAAATGTTAAGTGGGATGTTGTTTGCATTTCAAGGACAAGCTGGGAAGTTCCACCTTAAACAAATGGTTGTTTGTTTTGGCCAGGGAAGTTGATTTCATAGCCTACCTGATTTAAGCCTCCTCTTGATCATCTGGAGGTAATAATCAGTCTGTGGGTGTGTTTTGCTTTGCTTTGATTGCATGGCTTGGTGGGGTTATAATGCTCCCGATCCCCTAGCCACATTGAGAGGATCGACAGTGCCCTACAAACTAGTTGCATTCCTCTATTTCACAGTTCAACCTGCACATGTAGATTTCCCTACTCTTTGTTTGTTTGCAGCGCAGCGCTGCCGATGCATGGGTGTATCTGTCAGCCATGGCTTGCTTCAAACAACACTTTGCAAATGACACATTTAACTATTGTGGCTTGGAGTGAACCGAGACTGGCAAAAACGTGCAGGTGTAATGACACAGCATGAATTAGTTGCAGAAACAAAAGTGAAGGGTGAACATTTGCATGAAAAGTAGGAGGGGACAGGTTTGTGTCAGCATCCTAATGAATGCGGCCCACTTGCTGCTGCCCACTTTTAACGCAAGTTATTTATTTATTTCACAAAATTTATATGCCGCTTGATTGTTAAAAACCTCAAAGCTGTTTACAAAAAGATAAAACAATAAAACGGAGAGAGAGAAAAATCACAACCATACAGAAGTTGAAATACTGAAGCAAATTATAATTACTTCAACTTTCTAAGCAGCTGCGTAGGCTTGCCTAACCAGGAATATTTTAGGTGCAGTTCTGGCATACATAAATAATAATTATTTTTTGTCTTTTGGTATCTCACTACCTACTATCCCTAAAAGAAAAGCTTCTTTTTTTGTTGAAAGCTATCTTAAACATTTTCTTCAATTCGTTGTGTATACCGTGGCAAGGCTTTCCTGGTTCAGGAATGGCTGCAGCTGTTGAACCATTTGCAGTTGGTGAAAGACATTTCTAGCCACTGAGGTTAGAATTGACAGTGACAGAATTGGATCCAGAAGCACCCTCAAACTGGGAAGCTTCAGGGGGAGTGCAACCCCATCCAGGGTAGGCAGCTGACCACTTTCTTGGACACGGGAGCTACTAATCCACAGTGCCTCCATCTTGCCAGGATTCAAACTCAGCTTGTTTTTCCTCACCCACTTTACCACTGTGTCTAGGCAATGGCCCAGGGACTGGGCAGCCTCTCCTGATTCAGATGTTATGGAGAAATAGAGCCGAGTGTCGTCATACTGATGGCACCTCACCCTGAAACTCCTAATGGCTGCTCCTCTGACAGCTTCATTATATTGCACCAGAGATCAGATTGCGTAGCCGCCAGGGGTCTGAAAGGCACTCTCCCAATGCTACTCTCTGGACTCGAATCCTGAAAGTAGGATCGGAACCACTGACAAGAGGTCAAGAAGCAGGAGCCAAGGTCTCATTCCCTTTGTCCTGCTCTTCGCAGAGGTCATCCAACCAAGGCTGACTCAGTTTTGTGGCCAGGCCTGAACCCAGGTTGGAATGGATCTAAATAATGAACTCATTTACTTCTGGGTATTCAGCATTTGGGTTCTGAAACATTTGTCAATGGAGACGTTTGAGAACCGAGGTACCACTGTACTATGATTCATAAAAGCTTTTCAGAGTGATTTACAGTAGTTATACATAAAATTACAGTGGTACCTCGGGTTACATATGCTTCAGGTTACATATGCTTCAGGTTACAGACTCCGCTAACCCAGAAATAGTACCTTGGGTTAAGAACTTTGCTTCAGGATGAGAACAGAAATTGCGTGGTGGTGGTGCAGCAGCAGCGGGAGGCCCCATTAGCTGAAGCGGTCCTTCAGGTTATGAACAGTTTCAGGTTAAGAACGGACCTCCGGAACGAATTAAGTACGTAACCAGAGGTACCACTGTATATTTTAAAAATTAAAATCTGAAATAGGCCAGCTGTTGTCTTCTCTCCCTGTTCTTTTTCTTAACTTTATTTTTAAGTTTCTGAAAATACATATAGCAAGCCATCCCCATATACCCTCCAAGAAACATTCCATGCATATGCAGTGTAAATACTGCAGTCAAAAACTAGGTTTGTGAACAATTTACATCAATTAGGTGTCTTCTACTTTACCCAGTGGTCTGTTCGCAGCTGTAGCTGGACATTCTGGAGATTGAACCTAGGACCTTCTTCATGCCAAGCATGTGTTCTACCACAGAGCCACAGTCCTTCCTCCTGCTCATAACTGGTGAATTAGACTCCCTAACTGATGAGTTAAAGTGAAATTTAGTTGACCAAGTAAGGCCATTGCCCTTAAATGTGCCTCAATTTCTGCTCCCTTTGTCCAAGAAAGCTGACTCCTTCTGCCTTCGGGCCATGGGTTTCTCAGCTAGACCAGTCCTGGAGATCTTGGCAGGCAACGTGACGCAGGATTGGTTGCATAAGCCCGCTTGCTCTGGAAATGCTTTGAATTGCCACAACAATTAAGAATCAGCAAGAGGAAGCAGGATTTCCCCACCCCATCTTGATCGTTGGCAAAAGGAGAAGGTTGAATTGTGCTTAAAAACCCCTCTGAGCATGTGGCGGCCTGCTGTCGTCCCTTTCAGAATTGGGAGCCAAGGGTTGCAAGCAGAAGTAATTGAGCAACTGATTCCTTCAGACCAGGAACCAGGC